ATATCGCATCACTACTTTTGTACGATCCCGCTACCCCTTCCTGGCACCAATCGCGGATGATCCCTTGGCACCTCACTTGATAGTAAAAGGTCAAAGCTTTCCTGTTAATAGGATAAAAGCAATCTGGTTGCTCGGGCTTACTGTTGCTTTCTACCCGCTCCTAACAGTTTTGAAATCTTCTTTTTCTACTTTTTAATTCAGTCTCTGACCTGTAAGTAATAAATGATGGGTGGAGTATGAAGTATGAAGTATGAAGGATGAAGAAGACAAGCGTGAAGAATAAGGAGAAAAGGGAGAAAATGTAGAACGACAAGATGACGTCGAGCACGCGATACGAAGAGGGAGAGGACGATACAGTACCATAACAAAGTTCTGTGCGGTCGCCTCCATGAAGGTAGAGTTCTTTCGTCTTATGGAACACGACTATCCATCCTTTTGATCACGATCTAGTCATCATGCAGAGTGGCTCTCAGCACCACACTCTGCGCCGACATTTGTGAGCGGCATCTCAGCTGAGCTGCTTATGAATTCCAAATGGCGATGGACCCTCAAATTTTTTCTCCGATCCTGCAAACTGGCTAATGGAGCAAAGAACGAGTTGGGAACGCGTTTGGCCTCCCTCTATGGCAGTCACTTACGAATCTCACACCCATTGACAGACACCTGTCGGATTACATAAAGTAGTAGCTATTTCTTATTTTTCCACAACATTTTTAGCTTACACACAAAGGGCTGGGCAATACGGAGGCTTTGTGCCCGTTAACGCACAAAAGGATCAATTCTTTTGAAAGGAATAAAAAGAAGGAGACAAACGTCCAGTCAAGTCATCAGAAAACTGTATGTCCAGTTGCAAATTCATCTATGTAAGCTCTACACCATGAATTTCTATGATCACTCAGGGCACAATACAGGACAGATGCCTATGACTTTCTCGTCAAAAAAGAGACACCTCGAAGACTCAAAGGCTGAAACTCCTGCTTCGGTTGTTCAAAAACTTTCAGCCAGTTTACCATAATGAATATTAATAAACTGCTAGGTAAAAGGCATCAAAAGTGACAAGAAGGTTCTCGAGAGGGTAGAGCACTATATCCGGCAGAACGATCTGCTACACAGCACAATAAAGCGCAACTCTATTAGTTTTTCGTGGGAAGAAGTGCCTTTGCCTGAGGAAGTTATCGAGGTTATCTTCAGCGCAGCGGAAGGCCTCAGACTTTCTCGTCTATGCCTTTCAGAACAAGAAAGTCGAGATGTCATACTAAGCTTTGATAAAATCCGTTTTCATGAAGCGTGGAAAACTCGGTCCAGTTTGTTGGAATAAGGTGTTACTTCGTTGATCAATTCCGTTTTTTTACTCCCCACCGCCTTTGACTTTCATTCGGTAGATTGACAAATCTCAGATTTTTTTACTTGGATTGCTGATGATAAACTGTGCTTGGTAGACTAGGGGGCTCTGATGGATCGCGATTTCTGGTAAGCTAATTTGCGGTTGCGCAGTTTGAATTTCTTTGTGTCAAAGGATATGATTGACTGGATGCGATCAGGAGTTTGGAATTCATCCAGAGAATGTTTTCAATTAGACACCGAAGGATTTACCATAAGAGCAAGTCGCAGTTGTTATAACAATCAGCGAACCAGCTTGAATTGATAATGACGCTTGCGGTCTTTGAAAAAAAACAGCTTGTCCTGTGAGTGGTTTCCAGTTCCCACCACTTGCGAGCCCTTCCACGAGCCCTTCCGTCTTTATTCCATACTGACCCTTCCTTTCCCTTCCAAAGATATGAGGACCCGCCTCGATAAGAATATGTTCTAGGAAGACTCACCATCAAAACTAATCTTCATGTCACCGTCTTTGTCAGCCGACTTGATCACATTGATGAGGAATTTCAAATGAGTTTTAAAAAGCGGGTCCTTCTGCTCATCCTAAAAAAATCGTCTATTGTTATTGCTGGTCAACGGTGAGTAGAAGGTGCTGGTCCTTCAATCCTCGCATGCCTAAACTTCTGAAGTCACACAACGTACTTTATCGGCTCCAAGAAGCATACACAGCACGTCATCCTTGCTTATGAATCCGGACATGTCCTTGTCGTGCCTACGGAACATTTCACGAAGTTCTTGATCTGGAATCACTATGTGCATTTTATTTCTAGCGTAATTTTTATCCTGGTTATCGGTTAAAAGGGAAAGCAAGGCCGCTGAACGATACTTTCTAAATTTGCGACGCATTCTGTTTCCTATCGAGGAATTACATGGATGGCGGATCAGCATTTCATTTGTCCACTTTCAAAGCCAACGTTCGCTACTACGGTCTCAGTCTGTACTATGAATACTGCACACATATCTCATCACCAAAGCGTCTTCATTAGCCCTGGTTAGTTGGTATATGGGGAAGTGAACACTTCTGACCACAGCTTTATTCAGTTCTTTTTCGTATACNAGTACAAGTATACTAAACTGGGACGTTCCAGAGTAGCTAACTGTTAGAGGAGGTAACATAGAGATCAAGGTGGAGCACTCGAAGTTCATGCGTCTTCAACTATAAAAAACTTTATCGATAGCGATGAGGAGAGTAGGTTATGGGTCACGAGCTGTAGCAGTGACTTCAGAGACTCGCAAAAGCTTTGCTGAAGATCGGCAATGGTTACGTTTGGGTTATTCAAGGTCAAATGAAGGACGCCTAAAAAGTCCCCTGGGCTACGGTGCACAGAGCCACGGATGTCATGCTCTCTTTTAAAGAACTGCATGAGGAGTAGTGGGGCGCAAAGCACTGAGAAGCATCAGGGCTGGTTTCCCATCACCAATACACGCTTTGTTCCATGCTTAAAGTGAGAGAGATAAGTAATGCATGATTCTCTCGCTCTGTTCAAGTACTATTCCTATAGCGATCAAGGTGATTTCCTATCTTACTCAACAGAATGTGATGATCACAAAAACCAAAAGGCATCCTTGGGTTTTTATGAAAAAATGTTATTTTTCAAAAGCAGCCTAACTCCACTTGAATGACGTACTAGAAATACTACCAAATCAAATAAGCGTCTGCTCGCTTTCGAGTTTCAATAGTAGGTCGATTTACCCATGTACACACTCTGTTACTTATCCAGTACCCTTTAAACACTTCGGGACGGTCAAGGTGGAGAACCTTTAAAAAAA